TATCCAGTCCAGCATCAAGTCTATAAAACTGCAGTGTTTTCTTTAATATTCATTTCTGAAGGTTGTAACTTAGTTTCCATTTTTAAAGGTTAATTCGGTGACCAGAGCTCACTACAAAGCCCAGCATTACCAGCACTCACCAAGAACAACAGGTGCAGGCGAACTTAGCACCACATTTTTAACCAAAAACAGAACTGCAAGTAAAGAAAGTAATTAGCAGCACTGGTCAAGACATGTTATTTCAGGAAGCAGTGAGGTGATGAAGATCCAAAAAGGCCAGTCTGAGTAAACGATCCATGAAAGCTTATCAGACACAGCGAAACTGCACAGCAATTTCTAACATCTGGGCTTAACTCTTAAGGCTTAACCTAGGTTTTCTGGTATCACAAAACTGGCTCACTTTTAGATCACCATGGTAACCAATGCTGCATGGCTAACCTGCTGTGGCACATGCATGGATGTACTAAGGTAAACCTGGATCTCAGACAAAAACATGGAGCGCCTTGGCACATTTGACAACAAAAAAAAAATTCTCTTCCAGGTTTACTTCTGCATTAAGGCACCCACGGCAGATGTGCATGAGTGTCCCCCCACTGCCCCCGCCCATGCGCTCCTGCTTGGCTCATAGACTTTATATTAGGATGATGTCACAAAAATAAGACTCTGGGAAATTTTTACAAATATACTGTAAAACCTCAATGGATTAAAAATAATATAATAATTTATAATACAAAACATGATAAATGAGCTCTCGCGTAGCTCCGAGATGTCCTGTCAACACGTTTACACACACCTCTTTTATCATCGTGGTGTATTAAGAAAAAGCTTTTTGGACCCCATGATTCCTACAGGATCCCTTCATAGACAAAAAGGTCCAGATTTTGCAAGATTTTTCTGTTTTCTGAATTTTCCTGCTTGTGTTTCACTGTTTCATCTCATTTTAGTGCTTCATTCATGGTTCTTGTGATGGCATGTCTAATCAGAGTGGCACCTTGCTGGCTGACACTGCACTGCAACACCACAAAAGTTAAGCTAGCTTCAAATGTTTTGCTAGACGACCCTGCATTTTTGTGGTGGAGCTCTCTGTGTCGGCATCCCAACTGTGCCAAAGTAGCGGATTCATTAAATGAATTAGGGCGGCTGCCTGTTATTACGCAGTGCCGCTGTCAGTGTGACCATGGCCTGACAACCCTGTGCACATGTGGTGTTTCTTTCAGTTGTAAACCAACATTTTCGCCTAGAATACATCAGCAGCAAAACAACAAAACCAACAGTGTGTTTGCATTTCAGCAGTGTTTTTCTGTCATTCATCTGAAGCGTCTGATGGAACAGATACAGCTGTCTATACAAGCCGCCCCACATGTATAACTACAGTGATAGCGTGTTGGGCAGAGCCAAAATGCAGGCGCCCTGCACTCACTCTGAGGCCGCGGCTGCTCTGCTAACACCAAATCTTTAGCCATATGCGTGGAACATGGCCAAGGTTATTTGAACATCAAGCCAGTCCTCATGCAAACCTCTGAGCATATCTTACTCCTGATATGAAAACACTGCTTGACCCTGGGATTTTTTCTTCAGGCAAAACTGTTAATGAAGAATTCAGTCAGTACAAAGGAGAGTGTTTTGAAAAATCCCAGCAGCCTTTGCTTCCCGAGCCCCTTCATAAAGCACGATCCCATCTAAAATCGGTTTCTTTATTGTATTGGTGTCTTTTAGCTTTCCTACAGATGAACATGATGCATGTGTCTGTACAGTAATTGTATTTGTCAGACCGCCTCTCTATGAGCACAACTCAGCAACAACAATCTCCAGCAGAAATTATATTTTCAGTGTTTTTATCTATTGATCAATGTTTATAAAATCCCCATCACAGCTGACACTGTGATACAAAAGCCAAAAATGTCTTAATGGTACAAAATCTAGAATAACAACCTTTTTCTCAGTAATATCAACAGTTTTCTCAGTTTTCTATCTAAGGGCTTTGGATTTAATATACATGCAGTAGTTGTACCTCTCACTTTCAAACTACCCATGTTTGCAGGCTACCGTCACTAATGCACAAACAAGGCACACACAGAGAGGTTCTGACCAGTGTGACTATATTAAAATTGAACATATCAACACAACTAATAATGAGCCATTTCCAAGGTACAGTATCATCTGATGGCGTCTGGCTTGTTCACTTGACATTACACTGACATGGTCACTTCCAATTTCTTTGTCTTCTCTGGCTTTTATCCAAATATAGTCAATTCTCATTTGATTATCACAGCTATTCTTTTTATTATGACTGTCTTCATGTGGAAATGTATCTTTACTGAACAAAAATATCTCATGGAGGATAGTACTGATTATTGTTATTATCGTACATTAATCAAGCACTACATTATTTATATGTACAAATGTTGCCCAGACAAATATTTTTAGATTTATTGGGCCAGGAAATTGATGCTATTTTGAAAGTTAACAGTGACTTTTCTATTGAGCTTATGTTCATATAACATTACGTTACAACTTTTCTTCTGTTTGTTTTTCTGCTATTTCATTTTCTACCATCTGTTTTTGATTTGTGTCTGCTGGTACATGGAAATCTGGCCTATATTTCCCATGATACGGAGGAAATTTACAAAATGGACTAAATCCCATGATCAGCAATCTCACCTCCAAGTCTGAACCATTAAACACATTAAACTTTCTTAAACATTCCATTTTCTAATTGGTCCATAAGGGCCAGATGCCAGCCAGCATTCTGTTAGCATGACATCCTGACTGCCTCTAAATGCAGAGGACAGCTGCTAAAATAACTGGCATGCAGGAAAGGTTTGACATTTTGGGATATATGCCTTTTGACTTTCTCGCTGAGAGTTAGATGAGAAAATCAATACCACTCACGTAAAGTAAATATGTAGATGGAGCCAGCAGCTTGTTAGCTTATTTTAGCATAAAAACTGAAAACGGGGAAATTCTGGTTCTATCAAAAGCAGAAAACATCGGCCTACCAGCGCCTCTAAAACTCACCATTACATAATATGATGAACTTGTGCAAAAACAAAAAAACTACAAAAGGTTACATGCTGGGAAGGGTGACTTCATGGAGACTCTGGGGTTGTCTGACTGCAAGAAATAATCTGGCACGTAAAACCCCTTGAGGCAAATTTGGGATTTCTCATACTGGACTATGTAAATCAATTTTAGTTTGACTTGACCCTGTAAAACTCATACTGGACTATGTAAATAAATTTTAGTTTGACTTGACCCTGTAAAACCACAAATTGCCATTTGTAACCTACACTTCCATTTTTGTTTGGATTAAAAATGCATTAGTGAGTTATAGAGGTGCTGCCAGGCAGATGTTTGTACATACAGACAAAGTCATGCTAGCTGTTTCCCTCTGTTTCCACACTCTTAGCTAAGCTAAGCTAAGATAATCAGCTACTGGCTCCAGCTCAATACTGAATGGACAAATATACTGTAAGAGTTCTCATCTGGAACTCTCAGCAAGAAAGCAAATGAATGGCACGCTATTCTTTTAAGTTGTGGTAATTAAATTGACCTTCATTCTTATACACCTGCTCTGTGATTCAAAGCTGCACCCCTCATGCACCTATTACCCTCAGACAACAGCCTGCCATGAATGGATTGGAAAAATAAATGGATTATGCTGAAATGAATATATAGAACTAAGCATTTGTGACATTAAAGCTGCCTATTTATCATCAAAAAGCATTAACCTCTAATGATAGGTCACTGAGTTGTCTTCATCATTAGCAAAAGGGGATGAAAAACAAGTCACAGTCGGTGTTAACGTGCATTTCAGTTGTCCAAACAGGTCCAAACACTATATTCTAAGATGGTGTAACAGAAGAAGTAAACCACCTCTCATTTGTAATTACTAAAGGCTTCGTTGTGATTTCTGACCCTGTGGTGCAGCTTGGAAGCCTAGACTAAAGTAAATCACCTTCAGTGCAGCACCAAACAACACCTTTGAATCAATATAATTAAGCCAGTATACCTTCAGAAAATGGAAAAGTGATGCTTTAAACAAGGGCACCTCTGGGATGTTTCTTAACCAAATGCGTTTCACTGCATTTGAGGACATTTGTGCTTAGCTTGGATGTGGCTGTCGCCAGAGCTGTGAGCAGACCAGTTCTGACTGGGTATGTGGGGTCATTGGGATCAGTTACCAGGCGACAGCTTGGCACACGTCTCCCTCATCTGGACATGAGTGGAAAAGCTACATGGGTCAGTACAGAGTTCTCAGAAAAATACGAACAAAAAAGGAGACTGTGCAGTTTGCAGCTCCAGGAATGACCAGTTAATGAACCACTTGCATCAGCAGGATACAGTCCTGCAGCCTGCTCAGTGCATCACACACAGCTCGGTGACCCTATTCACTTGCATTGTGAAATCCAGCAAATTCATCCCATGCATGCAGCAATCGGCTCTGTCAAATTCAACAGTGTATTTGATCTGACACGTGATGCATTATTTAGTTACTTTTCCATCTTGAGGGCTGAGATGGTCACACCCCTCTCTGGAGAACTCAAATGGGACTGCTTGCTGTGGTACGGTGCACACATTTCACCTCAGCAGTCAGCATTATTTTCCAATTTGCTTGTTGCTTTATGACACAAATGAGCCTCATGTCACAACGCAGGCCTTATCCAGTGCCCTGTCAATCAGCTTATCTTTGAGCATGACGGTCAATCACTGTGGACACTATCTTATATATATCACTGGCATGTGGATGATCCCTTCTCAGATATCGTGCAGAATATGAACCGGGCCGTTTCAAGACAATCGATTCCTTGGTAACGACTCAACCAGGGCTGAACTTTCACGTGACATGTGCCATTTGTTAGAATGAAACAGCCCCGCAGTTCATATGACCTAAGGTGCAAAAAATGTCATGCGATTGCAAAAAGCAGCACCAAGCGCACACGAAGACAGCAGAAACCATACCCTATGCGCGGCACAAGATATATTGCACTTCAACTCACCTTGAGCGGCCGTTCCTCTGGTGCTGAATACACTTGCTATCAGAGTGGCCACATACCAAATCATAGTACTATTGCCGACCAGCTATTACCACGCAAAGTGCCCCGTTCAACCAATCTCTCATATTCGACTTTGCACCTCGCGGTCTCTTAGCAAAAGCCCCTTTTCATATCCGATATTCTTTCCTCGTGGCGTTTCCCTTCATCCCTTCCCTCCCCCGTCCTTCCATCCGCATCCTCTCCCGAAGAGACAGAGCACCTGCACCGCAGCGTTTGTAGTAGACGGAGCCGTTTTACGAGCGCATAGTGAAACCAAGTGTGAGAATGCAGCCACGGATCCGCCTCTTCTGTCCCTGGATTGGCTGCAGATTGAGGCTTTGGGGCGTGTATTGGTTCTCCTGACGCCCCGCACCCGAATGACAGGAGAGCGGCCGTGCGCCGATTCAAGGTGAGTTGGAGCGTGCTGTAGTAGTGGAACCGCAGTATCATGCGCATTGATAGAGCCCTGTCCACATTTTTAAATACGTCCCATAAAGTGGCCCCACGTGCACATCATCCATTCATCCACTGGGCCTTTTGCCTTTTCGCCATATCAGCGTTGGTACCATAAAGCTGTGTATGCTGCAGGGTTACTGGAAAAGCGATGAAAAGGGGGGAGCTGGTGGGTGTGTGTGAGTCATCTGTCGCTCACCCATAGCCCTCGGCTGTTGTCATGTCGCTGTCACCGACATAAAACGCTCTTTTCTCCGCTACCGCGCCGTGTCTGGCTTTATGTGATGGGTGTGGCGACAGATACAATAGCGTCCGCTTGTTATGCCTCAGCGGCTGCGAGGATGCGGCTCCATCACGCTGCCCACTGCGCACACATGGTTACCGCTGATAAGGCTGCCTCAGATTCACACTCTCTATTTTCTACATGCATGGCCGCAGAGGAATCATAACGCCTGTGCGCCTCTGGGTGCTTGACATCAGCTAAGATCTCACCCAAATAACACAGTGGCTGGGGCTTTACAGGAGCCGCCTATATATAACACACAGACTAGGAGATGTACCATTTGAGAAGAACTGCAAACCTTGTAATCTTTCAGAAGACTAACATTTTTTTGTCTCGTCATATGTCTGTCTGTCTCCTCCCCTCCCTTCTTTCTCGGAGACTGTCATGTTCCTTTAAAAAAAAATCAAAGGAAATATAACGAGGTTAACAAAATGCAAATACACTTTCCCCATTTGTTTCTGCAGAACCTCTTATTCCTGCAGTAAAAACCCAGATGAACAATATTTTCATAGCACATTTTAGCATTGCTATCCTATAACCAGTGTTGATTCAGTTAGCAGTCTTTCTAAGAGGACTTCAGAGGACCAGCCTCAGCCTACTGTACTCTACAGCCAAAAACTATAGTCTTTGTTAGCATTTTGCACATTTGCTTGCTTGTTTTCTCATATCAAAGCCTCACATCACTATATATATTATATGGTGTGACACATTTTTTAAGAATAATTCACTATAACGTGCTCTATAGTGTTGGTGCATCACAAGTTGCCAGAGCAGCTTCACCGCTCCTTGGCATTAATCTCCAACTCTCTGGAATCCTGCCGGAGGACGGTACATCATTATTACCAAAGGATATCCCCCCCACTGAGGTGCTTTGATGATGGTGCTGGACAGCACTGTCTAATACGTTGGTTTAAAGTCTCCCATACTGTAGGTGTTCATCTGGGTTGAGGTCTGGTGTCTGTGAAGGCCAGATCATATGATTTGCATCATTTTCATGCTCATCAAACCATTCAGTGACCCTCTGCATTTCTTGTGTGTGTTTTTCATTTATTTATTCCGGCATTTCCTTTAATTTGTCAACTGTCTGTATTTTAGTATTCCTCTAAAACAGTGGTTCCAGATCTTGTCAGACTCCTCTAGGGGGGTTAGTGTGAGCACAGTGGATTTTGTTACGCAGCGCTGCAGTGACCTGTCCAGCGTGCACCTTGCCTTTCACCCAGTGATAGCTTGGATTGGGTCCAGGACCTAACATGGAAAAGCGATGCAGATGATGGATGGATGACTGGATTTCTGTTAAACATTTCAGTTGATTTTTTTCTAACTTTCCTCTCATCTCTGCTTTTATTGTGAAATTCTGGATTGTTTTACACCTTTAGACCTGTGAGACCTGACTGTGAGAAGTGAACATTACTCTTTGTCATAGATGTGAGATCCGGTATTTGAAGTTAAAGAGAACTTGGACATTAAAAGCCCCCTCTTGTATGTTTAGTGCCTGTAAGAGAGCAGCATGGCTGCTGAAGGGAAGCTTTACTCTGAAGAAGATTCAATGGCATATACAACTCAAGCTCTGAGCCATAAACTATGAATCCTAATTTTCAGTAACTGTGCAGCAGGGAGTCTTTGTTTAGTCTTACAGTTGTTTGATTAAACAGGCAAAACAAAGCGTTTCACATCTAAAGTGTTGTCCACAGAGGGGGCTGCATGGAGGGAATATTACCGACAGTGACCAGTCCAGTTTGAAGGTGGAGCGTCTAGCAGCCCCGCAGATTCTCACAATTAGTCAGCGGAGGTGTGTGATAGTGTGCTGTGACTGCTGCATGGCTAAACAAGGTCACATTGCAACCCCCTCTAACCCTCCCCAAAAGTTAAAGAAGTGCTGACACAACAGCAGCACATGCTGTAGGCCTGTACCTTCACTAGTATCAGCCTTGACAAGTATAAAGTCTGTTTCCACAGTAACCCACCACACCACATAATGGCGTTTGCTTCATGAAGCCACCAGAGAGGTTGTTTTTCTTTTGTTTTTTTCCATGATAGAATATGATTTAATACTGGCCAGAGCAGAGGCGAGATAAGAACACTTAAGATAATCTCTTATGCAACAAAACTATTAGTTTTGCAGCTATGTTAAGGGAGGCTGGGGATGGCTGTTACCAAAGGGCATGGAAGGAGCATGAAATGTTTTTACATTTTAAATGCAGCAGAGACCAGCAGAGCTGCCCAGAACAAAAACAACTTTATTATTTTCTGCAGAAAACTGTCATAGCTGTGGCTCACTGATGATTCATCAGGTTCCTCTTTTACTGAGTTTCACATGGACATTTCATACTTGTGATCAGAAAAGGGATGTTCCCTTTAATCAGCAGCTGATCTGGGCACTGTGTCCACGCTGATATATTTATGCATCCAAAGACGTACTGTATGTCTTCAAGATGTGTGTCAGCTAGTATGAGGATACTGTGCAGTCAGGTCTCATTTATTAAAACATAGCACTGATGGCATAAGACTTCATACAGGAAAAAAAAGTTCTGCTGTGAATCTTTACTGTATATATCTTGAAATTTTCTTATGTACAATTATTTACGGTGATGTTTTTCTAGATACAATATATATTTGCTTTTACTGTGCCAATAGAGACAGTCTAGCATTTAGAGAAGTTTGTGTTTATACAGTATGATGTGGATTTAACTGGGCATTAAATGATGAATAATTAATTCCAGGACTGAAACAAGTCCAATTCACTGACTTCACTGTCTCTCTCTCTCTCTCTCTGTCTGTCTGTGAAGCAGCAGAGGTGAATGGCACATGCAGTGCTGGCAGAAGGGCTGAGGGCCTCAAAGTCACTTTCATGCTCTGCACTGCTCCTCACATGAGAATCACTTGTCATGTCCATTGGTCATCAGTAGAGTCTGAGAACAGCCCATCCAAATGGTGGAGAAGTGGGGGCACTCTTTGTATGCTGACTCACACCAACATCCTCCATGTCTGCACACTGTGGTAAGTAACTGAATGTCACGTTTTCTGTCTATGAAGTCTAGATTAGTCTCTTTAAAATGCACCCAGTTATGAATATTCCAGGCAAAAAGACCACTGCAGTGTGAAAATTAAGCAGAAATCTTAATTTAAAGCCATCCACTTCCTTTATCATGCTGAAATTATCAGGTCTCTTTCCCCTCCTGTGCATCATCATGCCGTCTTTCAATTCAGTTGTGAAATCTATTAATACCACCGTGCTAACTGAGCTGTCGATGCAGTGCTTGCTAATTCCTGTGCACCGTGTAGCATTATAATGCCTTTTAGCCTTGTTGAACAGGATGAACTTCACTGTGGCTGAAATTTGGTTGATGGCATCTTTTTGGCAAGAAAGAGCAAAGTGTTTGAGCTGCTGTGGCCATGAAAAGAATCTGGATATGTGGCTGTGAAAGAAAGAAAACAGTCAGTCACTGTCAGTGTGTGATGATTTCCAGAAAGTTCATCCTATTGCAACCGATATAGAAACCTTTTGGAGCGTTTGGCAATGCAAACCAATTCAGCCAGTTGATTGGTGCAGTTGATTCCTCTAGGTACAGATGGTTGCTCACTAACAGTACTAGAAAGTGACTGTTTACCTAAGGGCTGCTTTTAGATACAGTACTTGAGGTATTAGTACTTTCCTTAGTTGTTTTCCTTCCATGCTACTGTATACTTCTACTCCACTACGTTTCTACTCCACTAAAGTACAAATCACAACTTTCTGCTGCTGATGAGAACAGTACACATACAATGGAGACACAGCTTACATCATTAGTTCCAAGCCAGTGATGTTTACATATGTGAACAATCTCACCAAAAAGTGATTTTCCTTTTCCATGTTGTTTAATTTGAATCATTTTTATAGGACTGAAGAGGCAAAGAGTGTGGTATAATTTTGTACAGTAGATACCAAAACATGTGTTCTCTGTTCTTCATCTTGCAAAACCGCAGAAATGTGACCCCCACGGAGGGGGGTGCTGATGTTTAGGGTGGAAATTCATGGCTTACATGAAGACAAATTAAAGGGGAGTGTGCAAAGGTTGTGGACCTTCTACAGCGAGGCAGAAAATGTGTTAGCTGGTTTAAAAAGTCTTGTGACTGTGCTGTTTAAGGCGTATCTTATTCTTATTCAACAGGACCTGACCAGCATTTTGAAAGGGGTTATTGCAGGGTCATTGCTTTATCCAAATAGTTTGTGTCTTAAAATGGATAGATATGGTAAACAATATAAGTAATTTTCAAAGAAAATGTTCCTACTTACATCCTATGTTGGTGTAATAACTACTGTTAATAGCTTAGTACTGTAAGCCCCGGCAGAGCTTATACATCATTTGCATTAAGTATGATTTGAGGAAAAATAGAATCAACAAAGAGCACTAAATGGTCAATGTTCTGGTGTATGTTGACAGAATTATCAACTGTAAGTTAGTGAGTAGAATGAAATGGGAATACCTTATCCTTAATACTATCTCAGATGGTGATCACATTGATCTGGATATCCATGTAGGTCCAAGTGAAGCAAAACACAGAAATCATGCATATTAACATGTTTTAAAGTAACTAAATAAGTTGTGCTGCTAAGCTAAAGATGCTGTCAGTCTTGCTGCCATATCACACCTTAATGGACATTCAAGTCAGTCCTGTCTCCCTTGCTCAGCCATCATGATGTGAACCTCTGCCCTCTCTTGCTTTGTCCGTTCGCCTTTTTGTTCTATTTAATGGCTGGGAATTTGAGCCAGCTCCCTATCTGAACCTCAAACAGCTTCTTAAAGTCCCA